GCACCTCTTGTATAAAATACTTGCTATCCGCTTACCACAATACAACCACTTTTCCAACCATGACTCGCCAACCCTCCTTGCACCACCTTTTCTTGTCATGTCTGTCGATGTATCTTCTTCTTCTTCTGCCCAAAAATAGCCTTGCATTCAGCACAGCTGTTGCTGGTGGTGGTGGTGGTGGTGGTCATTTGTCATCGTCTTGGACGTCTCGTCCACATCATGCTTCTTCTTCTTGGTCTTCGTCTTCCACCACTACTACCACACAATTACAATTTGTTCCTTCTTCGGAGATGCAGCAACAAGGAGGAGAAGAAGAAGAAGAAGATCAACAAACAAAGAATCATGATCATGCTCATGATCCTTCATCTTGTTGGACCATGGCACAAGATTGGGAATTGATCGATCAACTTCCCAAGTTTACGGTAGGTGAAGGAGAGCATTGTCGTACCTTTTGGACGCAAATGGCAGCTTCTACACCATTGTTGGCAACAAAGAGTCCAGACGAATTGTTGGAACGATGTCAATACCTCTTCTTGCAGCAGCAACAACAACAACAACAAGAAGAAGAAGATGATGAGAATGAGAATGGCAATGACGCAACAACAGCAACAACAACAACATCAACGAGTCCAGCAGCTATCAATAATCACTCTACTACTACTGCTACTACTACCATCAGCGGCCTCCGTCGCCCAATTGTCTTTGGTCCATCTCCACCAGTACTTTCCCAATGGAGCATTCTTGATTGGAATCAGCATCATCATCATCGCAAACAACAAGGCAGCAGCAAGGTGGTAGGTCAATTGGTGGATGATTCAAACAATGGTGCAAGAACCATTTGGATGCACTATCATTGCATTGGACGTCTTGATGGTGATCCATTGTTGCCGGATGCTACTACTAGCTCTCCGTCAGTCTTTCAACTGGTATCCGGTGGATATTTGGAGGCAATTGGTGGTCGCATTTACGAATTGGGAGAAGCTCGAGAACAACCAACAGCAGCCGTATTACCGACCAGTCGTACAACAACAACAGCAACAGCATCATCATCATCATCATCATCATCATCATCATCATCATCATTCATGGAAGACCATCATCCGTCTTCGTCTTCTTCTTCTTCGTATTTCGGCATGCTGGAAGCAATGGATGCAAGGAGGAAAGCAGGTCAAATGACAACAGAACTAGACCTGCTAACCAAACAAGGAGAGTCTTTGGATTGGTTGCTTCCTCC